TCAGAGAAAACGAATGCGAGAAATTTTTCGATTTTTTACTAGAAAAGTGAAAAAATTAAAAAAAAAATCGGGGGATTTTCAAAACTTACTGTGTTTCTTTTGGTGATAAACTACTGACACTGCCAGATGATTGCGATGATGAAGATGATGGCTTGTTATCAGAAGACGAGTTAGCTGCTGCTACAGCTGCTGTCGCGTTATCGCCAGATGCTTTTTCGTGGTTATCAGCCCAAATTTCAGTTGGTTCATTTTTGACATTTTTGGGCAATCCGGGTGATTGCGCTGCAACCGCTGAAGGTGCATCACCGTAAGGACCAACGGTAAATTTGCCTTTTGAAGCCACTGAATGGCTACTTGTCGACGAAATAGCTCGGGATTCAGCATCAGTGTCCGTTCTAGCTGAAGTTTTACCCGTACTTTTCGTAATTTTCACATTGTCCTTTTGCGCTTCAATCGATTCATTTACCTCCTAGAAAAATTATGCAAAAATTTTACACTAAACAATGAAAAAAAAAAATAGACCAGAAATGCAAAATAACTTCGACACTCCCTCGCTACCAGCTAAATCCTCCCTCAATTTGGTTTCGAGAACTGGATTTTTCATGTATATCTCAAAAAACACGACGCGGTAGCAGGCTGTACTGATGATTCCCACTCCTAGCCACATATATCTGCCTGTCTGCGTTTACAGCTAAGGGATCGAAGGTGGTCTGAGTGTGCCACGATCTGTTCATCAACGCATGCAGTCCTTTATTCAGCATTTCGGTCTTCCTGCCAGATCCTTCAGCTTACCTCATTTCAATAGGTCAGCCCTTTAGCTTATCTCAGTTCATTACGTTGCTACGTCACTTCAGTACGCCTCTCCAAATAATACAACGGGAAGTAGAAGACAAAATTTAAAGCTCAAAATTTTTACCTGTTCACTATCCGTTTCCCCCGGAATTTTTAAAACTTTAAACGAAATAATCTCACTGATCGGAATGTCTCTCGCGGCTTCTCCCGATGGTCTGCCATTCCTGCAAAATCAAACATCACAGGCTAGTCAGCAAGCTGTACTCTGGCCAGCCGTTTCCTTCACTGTAACGCACTTTCAAATACACGAAAATGGCATACAGGGCACTACTACCTCTCACCAAAACGGAACCTTCCCAGTAGCGTACAAGGAGATGGGACAAGGAGACAGGAAGGTTCGGCTGTTTCTACGAAAACCACCAAATTTTAGTACTGTCAAATTTAATCCAATAACCAAGGATGTCAGGATTGCCATGGCGCGCGGAAAACTCGCAAAACACCGGCCAAGAAGTCGTCACAAAGAAAAGGAGAAGAAAAGAAAGGTGTATCTTGACTTGAAAGGCAGATACACAGTAGATGTGCTACTAGGCTCAACCAGGGGCCCGGTGGTGTAGTGGTAACACTTCGCATTTGGACGTGAAAAGAACTGGTTCGATCCCATGCCGGTGCAGGGCAGTTTTTGGAGGAACAGTTCCGTTCTGACAACGGCTATTTTGGGTATTTCAATGTTAGGGATGCTACTGGAATGGACACACCTATGCCAGGTCTTTCAATCGCTAGAATGCACAATTCTATTAGTTCCTACTGCTTATTCGATGTATGAGAAATACTTGTTTGGAGAGCCACCTGAGTGATTGTTTTCTTTTTCATGGGCACAGTTAATTAATGCCCAACGTCCACCGGTTGCCTCAGTAAGGCCAACAGCTTGCCTCAGCTCTTATGAATTTCAATTTTTTGTTGAGGAAGGAGGGTTTCTTGGTTGTGATTATGGTTTTGATTTTGATTATGTTTTTTGATTATGGTTATGGTTGATTATGGTTTTTGAAATCAATTTTTGATCACGGTTTTTTTCTTTTTTTTTTTTTTTAATCAGTTAGGTGGTGAAAAAGAAAAAAGTGAGGTTGCAAAAATTCCACAAAACCCGCAAAAAAAAAAACTAGATATGCTGCAAATTCGTCACGTAACTCTGCAAAATACAGGGCAGTGGACTAATTTCATGAACTCATCCATATCTCGATTTTTTTTTTTCAAAAAATACATACCTCGATTTTTTTTTAACCCTTTCAAACCTTTTAAAATCAATATTTTGAAAAAATTCAACTTACACAAAAGGTCGTTCTATCCAGACAAACCGCTCAGTGGTATTAATG